CCCCCACAGCCTCCTTCCACCGCCCTGCGTAAAGTCACGAGTCAAATTGGATTGGAGCCTTATCACTTTAAAAGGGCGGCGGGCGGCGCGACCTTCGACTCGCCGTCGTCGCGACGCCCTGCGACGCATACGATGCGGTGACGTCACGTCTCCATGACGACCGCATCCCTCCTCGGCGGCGGTGCTGCGCGCGGGTCCGCGGGAGGCGCGGCCATAACGCGTCGTTACGATGATACAAATATGTTGTATTCCTCTTGTGTATCGTGACGGACTTATCGTTTCGATATATCTCGATTACGAGGGTAGAAGCATATGGCATACGTAGAGGGAACTTGGCGTCGGGTTTCATGAAACGTCCGTGCAAATGATGAAAATGACAGAGATTAGCATTAAAGTGCTTAAAAATTCTATCATAAACCTAATAGTTTTCCCCCAAAAAATTATTTGTTTCCTTTGAAATGTGTTTTGGTCAGTCACGCGCAAATTCGTGATGACGTCGTAGGTTCGTGACGTTTAACAATCGCGCCACGATTAACAGTAACAGCGTGACAAATGAACCGCCCGGAGCGGCAGGGCGTTGGGGTGGGGCCGACCCGCGGGACAGCGGTGCGTGGCAGGCCTGCCCAACCGCCCGGGCGCTCCCTCGCCCGGTCTGGAAAAGGGGGGGGGGCACATCCAACACACTATTTCGAAAGCACTCTATTTCTTCACTCTTGTGCTAAAACTTTCAAGAGAGTGAGTAAACACACACAAACACGCGCGCGCGCACACACACACATGTTACTTCGTTACTTTCATAAGTATAAGAAGGGAGATGAGAAATAATGGTTTGAATAACGTCTTATGTATTTGTATAAATGATTACCTTTTTTTTGTTGTAAACTTTACTCTACTGATGATGTATACGTCAATGATAACTCAGAGTGATGATGTTTGACGAAAACTATACCTATTGACTTTGCAACGTCATTATTAATAATTTTGTTTTTTGTAACCCGCGTGCCACGTGGGTGACCTATGCTCCCTCCACAGCAGCTTAACCCCCGCTTTACCAACGAATGCTAAATAGCTGTCACTGCTGTCGTAGTGACCTCTCACATCGTGACCGTGACCTGCAGGCCGATATGTATGATATGAGTAAACCCCACAGCGCCGGGCTTAAGGAGAATGTTTGCAACATACGGAGAATGTTTACGAAAAAAATAAAATTGGCACAAGGAAAAATTAAACAACACACCGCCACCATGCACTGTTAAGAGTCTACGAAGCATTGCTAAACTCGAGTAAACTACAAAGAAAACGGCAGCATCGTGGCGCACGAAGCAATTCTTTGTTATTGCGAAGAAATTTTGCTTTTTATTACAGCGCTTCCGTGTTCTTTGTAATACCTACAAGGCAATGATTTGTAAAACTTTTCCTTTGTGTGGGTGCGGGCTTGACGCGTAAAACACGCATGTTAATAATTTCACTTTTCTTTCTTTACTTTTTGATGATGTTATTCTTATGCCTTTTGGTCTTATGAATTTATCTTAAGCGAACGAGAGACATCTTTGCTGCAAAACAACGCCTCTGCAAACCTAAACAGCAATTGCGGCATGTTCTGTATGGTTTACAGAGACGTTTGTCACCGCTTAGAAAAGAAAAGGTCCTCAGCGCGGCTCTTTTCCTTTCTCCTCTTTTATTTTCCTTTCTTTTAAACCGCTCGGTTCACCGCAAGAGATGGGCCCAGCTCCGTGTTCGGCGCCAACGATCCCACTGGTCTCTAATTCGCTCCGTTTGTTGCAGGGCTCGGCCGACTCGAACTACTCCCAACCGTCCTCGGATCTGTCCTTGGACGAGGAGAAGGAGAGCATAAGGAGAGAGAAGGAGAACCAGGCTCGCAGTCAGCTGGATAAGGCGCGGGTGAGTAGTGCCCGGGGTGCGAATGCGTGAATACTTAAAGAATGCTTGCACAACTCCCCGATTGATGGGGGACTTACCCTTCCTCAACCCCCTCCTCCCCCC